TTAATGATTTAATAATAATATGATTTAGTCATAATCACTAATAATTATTTATTATAAATATTTAATGATTTAGATTTGATACTAATCATTTAGTAATTATTACTAATAATAATGATTAGTTTGATAATATTTTTTATTTTTTAAAAATATCAAACAAATTTGTTAGGCAAAACTGTCGAGATAATGTTCTCGAAATAATTATTTCGCGAGATAATGCGTTGTCCAGATTATTTCATTCAATTAATTTTTACTCCTTACTAATATACACATACAATGTAAATTAAACAAAATATTTTTAAAACAACACTAAATATTTTTAAACACAATATTTTTTAAAACGGAAATTATCTCGCACAAAATAGTTTATATAATCTAATATAAACTTACTAACTAACTAATTTACACATACACAACAACAAAAAATGGACAACAAAAAATAATAAATTACTCACGTCTTTATGCCTTCTTCCTTTACTTTCTTTTCATGCCTTGTTTCTTTCTTCGAATCAATCTGTACGTGGGCAAATGTTGTGAAATAATGTCCTGTATGTGTAAACAAAATATTTATTTAAACAACAATAGCTCCCACAAATTAATTTTATATAATCTAATATATTATAATATACCTTAAACTAATAAACTATTTCTTTATTATAATATAACTTAGTTAAAATAACAAACTAATTAAGCACTAATTAATTTTTTATAATATAACTTCAACTTCAACGAACAACCTAATATACGTTTAAAGACACTAACAAATTAATTAATATTTTTTATATTTAATAACTTAAACTAAGAAACTAATTAACTAATTTTTTATATAATATAATATAACTTAAACTAATAAACTAATATAATATAACTTAAACTAACAAACTAATAATTTATACTAACAAACTAATTAACTAGATTTTAGTTTTACCCTAAACCCGAAACTAACAAACTAATAATTTCATATAATAAACTAAATTAAACAATAAAAAAATTACCTCACGAACTATGTTTGAGCCTTTATCTTCTTTTCTTCTTCTTCCTTTTCTTTCTCTCGGCAAAGTTTATATGTGCTTATGCTTCTGGTTCTGCTTGTGCTTCTACCCTAAACCCCATATCCTTTATATAAAGCAACTGAGCGTTGGACAGAGTCATTAAATTTGACTGTTGAAGCAAATAATATTAGCATTGCATCGTATAACTATTGAGCATTGAAAGGCTGCAATTGAACAATAATATTTGCTGCATTTGGCAGCTAAATTAACGCTGCAGTAACGCAACTATGGATGCAACACATGCAGCTACGGATGCAGGAATCTCCCAGCTATGATGCAACGCATGCAGCTACAGAATCTCCCAGAGCTTGGTCGCCGAGACTCCATGGCGACCTACCTACCACGCCGTTACTCCATGGCGACCTACACCGTTCGACGTGCATGGCCCATGCACAGTTCCCACGTCCCATGCACAGCTCCCACATGCATCCCACAACTCCCCCATGCATGCTCCAATACTATTTGATTGCATGGTGGTTGCATGGCGACCTACACCTGCTCCTTTGCAAAACACCACACAGGTCGCTCGGATGCCATGGCGACCTCCAAGGTCGCCCGGATGCCATGGCGACCTCCAAGGTCGCCCGGATGCCATGGCGACCTCCAAGGTCGCTGTAGAATTCACCCCATTTCAGCAATTAATCTGGGATGTGCATTATCTCGTGAATAAAAAAGTTCGAGAACATTATCTCGTGAATTCACCCAATAAATGCGGCTACCTTATAAATCCTTGGGAATATTTTATATAATTAATATGGAAATTGTCTAATAAGGCTTATTCAGGTTCTTGTACCTAGAAAATCTTTTTTTCTTTATCATAGACTTGAATTTTTCAAGAGATCATACAGTCCTTATGATATTAAAATTAAAATATTGTTTTTATGTAATTGAATTTAAAAGAAAGTTGAAATGTTTGATTTAGAGAAATTAGGTTGTTGAAGGCTAAATCTGTAATTTAAAGAATGAAAGTTGGGCCATTAGATGTAAAAATGAAAAAGAAATGTAGGACCACAGACTGTCACAATCTAGATATTGCAGTTATTATAATTTTAAATCTTTGATTCAAACAGATTTAATTCAATCCAGATAACACGAATCAAGGAGAATGTTTAAAGAACGATAACTTAACTTAAGATTACAAAAAATACAATATTAATTTTTTAATATTTATAAAACTTTAAATGATAAATTTTAATATATTTTTTTACAACTGAAAATGTTAATTTTTCATATTTAAAATGCAAAAATTTAATTTTTTAAGTTACGCAATTAACATTTTAAGATGTGTTCAACTAATGAAAATGTTAAATTATTTTAATATTTTCGATTACTTTTTTCATAGCCTTAAATTGGACTGTTGTATGACAGAACTATCTCGAATCAAGTGACCTTAGTAATAAAAAAATTATCGTTATTCTTTGAAGTTTCATGTTCAAGTATCATGAATGTTAAAGGTACGATCGATCAATGTCAATTAATTAAGAGTTATCTTTAAACAAATATTCATTTATATTTACCCTATATTAATAAATAAATAAAAATCAATCCAGATATTTGTCTCTATTTTCTAAACATTACACATAAACATGTGGGTTCACATTCAAGTTTTCACTCAAAAGGAAATTATATAAATAGCTTCATCTTCTACATCTAGGATTTCAATAAACAAGCAATCTTCCGAATCTTCTTTTCTTATCACTCTTTCTGTTTGGTTCTCGAGAAAGTTTTTACACCAAAGAAGAATAATGAATGTTTTAGTGGCAACCAACAGAAACTTTAAGCTGGCAGCCAGGCTTCTAGGTTTGGATTCTAAGCTTGAAAAGAGTCTGCTCATTCCTTTCAGGGAGATTAAGGTGACGCCATTTACTTTGATTCTTTATTTCCGAGTCGAAATAAGATGGATTTTGGGAGTTGCAGGTTGAATGCAGCATACCCAAAGACGATGGGACTTTGGCAAGTTTTGTTGGATTCAGGATTCAGCACGACAATGGTTGAGGCCCGATGAAAGGAGGGATCAGATATCACCCCGAGGTTGTTTACATGTAAACCCCACCCTTTTTCTTAAAGTTTCGCACTCGAAATTGAACCTAATCGGATCAGAAATTTTCCCTGAATGCGAGTGAGTGCAGGTTGAGCCTGATGAAGTGAATGCATTGGCACAACTAATGACATGGAACACTGCAATTGCCAATATACCATACGGTCGGGCTAAAGGTGGGATTGGGAACAAACCTGGAGAACTGAGCAAATCCGAACTCGAACGCCTCATTCGAGTATTCACCCAGAAAATTCATGATCTTATCGGCATTTATGCTGATGTTCCTGCACCAGATATGGGCACTGGTCCACAGGTACATGCATCTCTGTTCTCTGTCATTACGTTATCTACACTTGACTCTTCATTTGGTACTTAAATTGACAAATGGTTTATTGTTTTTGTTTGTTAACTACAGACAATGGCATGGATACTCGATGAGTACTTAAAATTCAATGGCCATTCACCTGCTGTCGTCACCGGAAAACCAATTGTAAGCATCAACTTCGCATCGTTTTTATGCTAGTTTTAACTAGACTTAATAATTCCGATGTTCGTGTCCTGTTTATATAATTTTTATTTTTACTATAAGACCTTGGAGGATCACTAGGCAGAGATGCAGCCACTGGCCGAGGGGTACTCTTTGCAACAGAGGCTCTTCTTAATGAACATGGAAAGTCCATCTCTGGACAAAAGTTTGTAATTCAGGTACAATTTCAATCCTGAAAAAAGAATAGATTTTGACACCAATAAAAAGGAGTTATTTGAAAATGGTGATTTTCATTTTCAGGGTTTTGGAAATGTTGGATCTTGGGCCACAACTCATCCATGAAAAGGGAGGGAAGATTGCTGCAGTAAGTGATATAACGGAGGCCATCAAGAACAGCAAAGGGATTGACATTCCAGTTTGTTCAAACATGTCAAATCCAGCAAGGGTCTCAAGGGGTTCCATGGTGGGGATTGCCTAGATCCGGAATCAGTTCTTGTTGAAGACTGTTACATACTCATCCCGGTTGCACTCGGAGGCATCATCAACAGTTAAACGGTTGTCGGAATTTGAACTCAAAAGATTGTTGCTATTATATAATTCAACTACGGAATCATTGGTGCTAATTGTTGAACTTTGATCTTTATTGGAAGGGTAAATGCAAATGATATTAAAGCTAAGTTCATAATTGAAGCTTCTAACCATTCAACCGATCCAGAAGCTGACGAGGTTAGTGCTTGTGATATGAAGTATACAAAATACCTGAATTCGAGTAACATAGATCACAGCAATGGGCAAACATTTCTTTTTTTTTATAAAAATTGCAGATTCTGTCAAAGAAAGGGGTGATCATTCTTCTAGACATACATGCAAACTCTGGAGGAGTAAATGTTAGTTACTTTGAGTGGGTTCAGGTATCCCCTTTCTCAAATCTTGCACATCTGTTATAGGATGATAATCGGTCCTGTTTGATTGCAGAACATTCAAGGCTTCATGTGGGATGAAGAGAAAGTGAACAATCAGCTAAAGACATACATGAGAAAAGGGTTCAAAGATGTTAAGGGGATGTGCCAAACCCACAATTGTGACCTCCGAATGGGAGCCTTTACCCTCAGGTTAACCGCATTGCTTGGGCTATTGTTCTTCGAGGTTGGGAAGCATGAGAGTGCTAACTGCTAATGCTGGGTTTGAATAAACATGGAGGCCACTATAAGCCTCCTGATTCTAGCCCACCATTATGGTAAACCCTCATTCAGATTGAAGAGCATCAAATGAAGCTTTGCCATTTGTATTTCTTGCTTTTAATGTTGAATTCTACCTTAATACATGCAATCATTGTATTATAGACCTAGAAAATTTGAAGACAACACAACAATTTTGGTACATCTAAGTATGAATCCAATTCAAAGTCAGAAACCGAATCCAGATATTGCAGTTTGGATAAACAAAAGACTCTGAAATAAACATGTTTCCAATGAACACAACAGTCACAATTAAAGCTTGGAATCAAATTCTCAAAATTGTATCCCCGCGAAAACCAAAAGGGATTGCAGATAACCGCATTTGCAATGTTACAACATGTTAATGCTCTAAAACCTACCTCTACCTCTGAATCCACCACCACGGCCACCACCTCTAGGACCACCTCGACCACCTCTTGGGGCACCCCTCCCACGAAATCCACCACCACCTCTACCACCACCTCTGCCTCCTCCTCTACCACCTCCTCTACCACCTTGTGCTTGTCCCTACAACAATACATGATAAGATATCATAAGTTTTTGAATCAGAGAGGAAACTATTCCAATACATCAACATAATGCTAGTGGAAAAAAAAGATGCAAAATATAGGGTGAAAATGAACACAAATTGTCAATAAACAAATTACGCAAGCGCAAATTTCAACAAATTATCCATGACAAATCAAAGCATATAAGATTTTAGAGCACAGGAACTGAAAACAATTCCAGGACATGATCATCAATCCTATTAACTGAATCACAACAGTTTTCGGATATGGAATACAAGGATAGTAAACATACTTTGGTTGTGGAAGAAATCTTGCAAGAGGCAAAAGCTTGCTCGGGTCGATATAAAACTTATCACCCGTGGCATAAGAAGTTGCCACAATACCTTCTAACAGTTTGATTGAAAAGTACTGCAACAAAAATAAATAAAAAATAAATAAACAAAACTCACATGAAGTCCTAACTCTTTAGCAGATAAAAATTCAAACTAGAAATTGAACTCACGGATTCATTGATGGGGCCGAAGATTTCATCAACTTTACCAATCTGGGTCTTGTTCTGGAGATAGATATTAGCATTAAAGAAAGGTATTTTCTCATTGGTAAGCTTTGTCACCGCATCACCTTCACACGCGTGAAGGAATGAAGAGACCTCTGCATTAATAACAACAAGAGAAAATTCATGTTAATATGTTTTAAAAACAAAACAAAAGAATCAAAATATAAGGTAAATAAAATACTTTCGCACTGTCATTTTTCTTTGACTGTACATTTTAGCTTCGTCCTAGTGAAAAACAATGAGATAATGCAACAAATAATAGTTACTGACGAAATATAGAGAAAGCCCATATTGAAAAACTAGTTCTTTCTAGCTTTATTTGCATCAAATCCGTTCATCTATAATTAAGCTTCATTTTCTCAGGCATTAAATAAGAAGAAAAAGCACAGACAAATCAAAGGGAAAATGAGAATAAATCATGAACAAATAATTAATAGGAAGTTACTACTTACTCCCCATTGCCTCAGATGGTCTCTTTCATATTTTCTCATTTTCTTAGCATCCCAACAAGAAAATAACACAAAACAAAACAGAAACAGCTAAAAATCCAAAACTAACCAACAACTTCAGCAGGAGGTCCTTCGTCACGGAAGCCACCACGTCCTCCACCACGACCAAAGCCTCCGCGACCACCTCCTCTGCCTCTTCCACCGTCCCTTCCGCCCCTAAAACCTCCGCCGCCTCTCGGTGGTCTCATTTTTCTTTTGCTTCTCTGAGCTAAGGGTTTCAAGGGTCTATACTTGAACAAGTGACAGTAAGATGTAGGGTTTTGATGTTCTCTTAGGAGACTAAATTACTACAATATCCCTTAAGTTCTCTTTTTGTTATATTTTTAATTCATAGATTTAAATGGGCCTTAAGTCGGGTTAAGCTAAAAAGGTTTTTCTTAATTACTCAATTAATAAATATTTATTTCAATAAAAAACATTGTTGTTATGAAAAGAAAAAGAGAGTTTCGTACTAAATTTGAAACTCAAATTTTTTAAAATATTTATATACATTCTTTTATATTGTAATTATATTTATTAGGGAATTTTAATACATCAATGGTTTATATTTTATAATTTTAGTTATGGATTAGGATCCACTTATATAATGTAAATTCTTTTAGTTTTACACATATTTAGGATCGTTGAATGAATAAAAATAGATAACTGTGTTTGATTTTTTTTTGTTTGCTACTCTTTTATCTAAACACTCTCACATGTTGTTTGCAGCTCGTCTACCACGCTCCCACATAAACTAAGATCCTATGAAGCCTACATCTAATAAATCACAATCATTAATTATATCATAAAGTACATTCATTTGTCTTTCGGTTTGGACTAAATTCCTTTCTTTTTCAAAAAAAAATATAATCACAAACCACAAGATCTCTGAAGCATCATTCAAACAACGTAATAAATCTAAAAATTCATATCAATGATTCTCTTCAAAATCTCCATAAAAACTCATGCATCTCTATTTAAAATCATTAGTATCAGTAGTTATAAGTACATCAATATATGAACTCGAAATAAAATATAAAATAACATCCCACATTAATCACCAGGCCAAACACAAGCCGGTCCCTTGGGGCTCTACTTCAATTTCATGCAAAATACCAAGACTTTTGAACTTATTTATTTTTTAAGTTGGGTGATGATTATCTACGTTTACCTGAAAATTTTCATCTATGAAGATTTGGGTATGATAGTGTTTGAGGAGGCTTATGAATTTGAACGTGTTGTGTATATATATATATATCTTTAGATCTTTGCTTATTGTTATTTGTACATAGAGATAAATCTTTGGGGTGATTTATGTGACTTTGATAGCTTTCAAGTTGTGGTTTTGTGTATTTCTCAAAGTGATATGCTTTGGATATATTTCAACTTCTTTTTAGAGTTTTAATTTCTATATTCTCAGTTTTGCTTTATATCCTTTACTTCTACAATCACAGAAATAGCAGATTCAATGGAGAATCTATCTTTGGCTTCACAGGTCAAGACCACAAAAGTTCCTGAGCCTGTCAAGAAGGTACTACTTAGATTTATGAAATACTCCGTTTTTTAATGGTTAAACGTGTGAATCCATACTAGTTGTACTAGCAGGCTAAGTATCGAATTTGATAGGTTTAATGTATACTTGACAGGATTTTTACGGTGATAATGGCTCTTACATGTATCCTCAAACTTAATGTTATATGCCGTATTGGGCATATTCTGTGCCCAGTTCACCACTTCCTGTTATGGGACATGATGGTCAGTTATATTCGCTGCAAGAATATTATTATCCGAAAAATCCTTATTACCCACCACCTATATAAACTAGCCAAGCCGATGCTTTTCAAGTGGAGGTTCCAACTGTAGCTGATAAAGCTTCTTTACCTGTTGAAACAAATAAAGGAAATTTGAGCTCCGTAGCAAGTGGTAACGATGGATCTGGATCATTAAAATCAACTTTCAAGAGCTCTTCTCTAAACCTGAACGCTTTCTATAAAGGAGGATTGACATCTGGTAATCTATCTCAAGGTTATCCGGATCCAAGTTTTAGCTATGATGGGGTCCAGTCTCCAATTCATTGGTTAGATATGTCGATGTCTTGTAATGGGCAATTTGAACATACTGCTAGTACCGGGTTTTCATATACAAGCAGCCTTTCATCTGTCAGGAATCAGAACCTTCATTCCTTTCCTCATGTGATGGTACGTCTAACTTGATATTTTATGTTGATTGAATGTCACATAGTTTCTATTATTGAATGACCAATTGTTCTAATGATTTGAATTTGCGTACATAATTTGCACAATGTAAGACCACCATCAGGTGTAGGCCAAGGACACCATCAGGTGTAGGCCAAGGATACGGATGCATGAACCACATGTACCCTAATAACTTGACTTATGGTCATTATGGAAAGACCATTAGAGGTGGTTCAGGTTATGGATTATATGGCTATGGTGTCCAAAAGAAAGGACTAGGGTGGAATAATGTTAGCAATAACAATAAATATAGATTTAATGGTTATGGGAAAGAGATTATTGATGGTTTGAACGACCTAAGCAGAGGACCTAGAGTAAAAGGGTATAAGAATAAGGATGGTGTTGGAACTGCAACACTAGCCGTTAAAGATCAGAATCTTCCACTGACAGAGAACTGTAAGGACAATGCTGTTCTTGTTGTTCTAGATATGGGGCTGTATAACAAAGAAGATTTTCCTGGGACTTACTCCAATGCAAAGTTTTTTGTCATTATATCATATAGTGAAGATGATGCCCATAAAAGCATCAAATACAATGTGTGGGCCAGTACACCTAACGGAAACTTGATGCAGCAGTCTGTGGGACTACTGAGAAGCCTGATGGCTGTCCTATATTTCTATTGTTCTCGGTGAGTATGATTAACATTACTATCTTTTGTATTGGTTCACCAAGTATATGGTTTGTTTGATTTTTACTAGGCCTGCATTTTTTCAGGTTAATACCAGCGGACAATTTGTTGGATTAGCGGAGATGGTAGGCCCTGTTGATTTTAATAAAACTGTTGAATACTGGCAACAAGACAAGTGGACTGGTTGCTTCCCTGTGAAGTGACACATCGTTAAGGATGTCCCAAACACTTTGTTGAGACATAAAACACTTAAGAACAATGAAAACAAGCATGTAACTAATAGTAGGGATACCTAGGAGGTATTTTCCTCTCATTGAGTGCCTATTCTATTACAACTTTTTTGTTTTACATCCTTCTTAAAGTGGTTGGTGACTGCTGTAGGTTAATTTCGAGCAAGGGATGCAAATTCTTAAAATCTTGAAGGCTGTAAGACGTGCATCCTTGATGACTTTGAATTTTATGAGGCTCATCAAAAGATAATCCAGGAGAGGAAGGCTAAGCATCAGTTGTTACAAAAACAGGTATGCTAGATTCTTGTGACTGAGATTTTTTCCCACCATTTATAAATGGTGCCTTCTAAATTATTTAAATATTTACAGGTCCCGAGTGGGGAGCGTAACGAAGAAAACCCGGCCATAGCAAAGGAAAATATAGAAAAACCTGTTGAAGCAGAACGAATGGCTGCTGCAACAGCAGATGTATTAAAGGTGACAAATGGAGATGTGAAACCTGTTGAAGAGAATGGATCAGTTGTTGCAACTGCAGATGGCCCCTTACGAAATCAGGTTGTTTCGTTACTGCACCTCGTAGTTGGCTTTCTTAGATTTTAGGATAGGGCTGTACTTTTTGTTTGCTGTTTAGAAAGTGTTATATAATCACAGCATCTATTATTACAGCTACTTTGAGTCTATATTTTGAGCTGAGACTGGGGTAGAGCTTATTCCGTAGAATGTAGGAATAGGCATATCATCTTTTTAAAGTGTTCCATCATTCATGTATGGAGGGGCTATGGGCAGAATCCCAGAAATGTGACTTGTTCAATAGCCCTCTTTGAGTTTTTTGTCTTTTTTCATTCTGCTTTGTTTCAATGCGAAATGAGTTGAAGCTTGAAGGAAACAAATTACTCTTACTGGATGGAATCAAATCAACCATCACATTTAACCAATTTCACAATACTTTTCGAGCAATACTTCAACATTGCCAAATTCTCATTTCATCACTATTCCTTCTAAAGCTTGCAACTTGATCCCTAAGATTTATTTAAACTCCAAATCAACCCAATACAACATTCCATGTTAATCTAGATGCAACATTTCATCAATCAAACCATAATTTCCAGAATGGTACTCTAATTTTCCAACAATTGCCTATTAATACTTCACTTTTCAAACCATGCAAAATAGTCCTTAAAACCCGACAAAGTTCCAATTTGATCCAAAACACAATTCCAAGCATCTAAGATCATTCTAAACCATTCACATATCAAACTAAAAAAAATGTAACATCTCTTCATAATACCCCATCATAGCCAAAACTTTCAATTAAGTCCCTCCTAATCATTTTCAATCAATTTTCATACTTGTTATACTTCCATAACACTCCTAAATTTAGATTACAACCTTATCTCAATCAAATTCAAATTTCTCTTCAACCACCATAAATACCCACTTCACCATTTAAGCATGAAACAATGAAATACCTATACCAATTTGTAGAGAATTAAGTGTAGAACATTTTCTTATTTCACACTTTAGTCCAAATTCTCACTAAAATGGATCAAAAATGAAAAAGAAAACCTTGCTCACCTTGGCTATGGAGTCACGGAAGAAAGGAGAAGATTAGCTGAGATTTCTTGAAATTTATTACAAAATATCTCCTTAAAAACCCAATTTAAAATGAATTAAAATTCATTTTAGCCCAAAAGTTAAAATTACCCTGAACGAATCCTAATTTTTACCACCATGCCATCCTTTTATCTCCATTTCAATATCATTAAATAGATATAAAAATCTCATATATCAATTTCCATATTCACTCTTTCAATTTTCCAAAAATTCAATTTAGTCACTAAATTTCATTATTCCACTTTAACATGGAAATTCCTCCAAATTCCACCAATTCACAACAAATTCCACTAATTAAAAATATCAACATAATATTTCTAGCCCCAAACTACCTTCCTTTAAATTTTTGCAGACTTCCGATTCGATTCAGTTATCTGAATATTTTACCGATCTTTATCGCTTAATAAACTTTTATACAAACTTCAAATAAAAATTCTAAAACCCACTAAAATTTTTATTCTTGGGCTGAACTACTCAATTACAGTCCCAAAATATAACTTTTGAAAATTTACATTTTTAATCTTTGAACTTTTACAAATTTACACTTTAATCCTCAGACTTTCAAAATTTATTTTTCAATCACAAGTCCAAAATTTGGGATATTACACCCTAAGTAGGTATTGATAATATATCGGTATTGTTTTTTCATAGTATCAATAGTAGGCCAAGATATTGGTACCATATTGAGCTTCAATGCTTGAAAAAAATAAATTTCCATATTGATACTAATAGTGATGAAATTTTAAAAATATTCAACTTAGTCTCTAAATGATTTGAGTTGAATATGAAATGATCCTAAAGTATGTTGTATTGTTTAAAATAATCCTTAAAGTAATGACCACTTAATCCCTAAAGTTCATAAATTGATTAATTAAATATCTGATAATCAAATTAAGTTAAAAATTATCAATTCTGATTAGTTGTGTAACATCGTTTATTTAATTCTTGACTAGATTGGGTTGAAGGTGTTACAATTAATTTTGTGGAGTAAATGAAATATGAAGATAAACTCTTCCACGTAGATATCCATGTATCATTAGAAGAGACTTTTCTAGCATGTAACGAATGCTAGGGCTCATGGTTAAGAAAGAAAGGATAAATAGGACAAACAAGTGTTTAAATGTGACTTAACCAAGGATCAATATCTTCATTCTTGCTTTGCTTGATTGGAATCTCCTTCCACACATTTTTTTTGGATCTCTCTAGTCTGCCTACTTATGAGTTATCACCCTGAAGTTCATTTTCCTTATTCCACTACCTTCAACATTTTATGATCTTCTCAAAAATTAAATCAGGAACTCGAAGCCAGTTGATCAACCTTTCAAAGGAGTCATTTTTGTGAGTTACTTCTTGCGTGTGCTTTCCATTTTCTTTTGATGATTTCAAGGTTTCAATTTCCTTTGGCGTAACATTATTTGTATCTTATTGTTCTCGACTAAGTCTATATCTTTAAACACATTGAGCTTGATCATAGTCATTTACCTTCATTCATGCAAGCATATTTTTCTTTACCTTGCCTCCTAATGTAAAGGTGATTCTTGGTTAGTGTTGAATCCAAAGAAGAAATATTCAACGCTCAAATGAGGGAAACAATGGATAATTTTCTCTTTATGAAAGGTAACGAAAGAAGGTCGCTCTCCATTTCATATACGGAAGTCCTTGTGAAAGAAGAATTTCCAGGGGATTGATGTTTAGAATTAACCTTATTATTCACTCAAAAATAAATAATTAATACATAATATTTTTTTGATTTATTTTATTTTTTGGTTGCTCTAGTTATTCAAAGCTTAATTGTGCAAGATGTCACATCTTATCTTTTTGTAGGAAATTTACATGTGATATCTCTCGTTCAATGTCTTAGGGTCTTATTGGTCAAAGAAGGTTTTGTGTCCAAGAAGATAACATGTCTTTGAAGTCGTCTCTTCGTATCAGATACTATCATGTCAAAAGCTAACTGTAAAGGTAAGTGTAATGCAACACCTTCGACCCAATTTAGTCGAGAACCAAATCAAAGATGTATCAAAACTTAAATTGAAGTTAAATATTTGCAAATCATACATATTATCATATTAAAATCACAAAACATATCCAAATCTTCAATTTTATCAATAAATAACAAGTTTCAAGTTAAACTTATGTTTAGGGACCACAATGAAATTTTATAAAATTTAGGGATCTAAATGTAAATAGTCATAAATTAATAATGCCGATTCAAAACCTTCCTTATGGAGCCTATATTAAGGGTGAGTTTAGGTATCAAATATGAAAAATGAAATATTTACATAAAGTATTATGTGTAGCGATAAAACATATCACACTCTCAGAAAGAAAATCTAATTTAATAATTATAAATTTCAAAAAAATTATTTTTCATAAACTATAAAACTTTTAGATATTTATTTAGCTGAAAAAGAATATTTAAGTTGTAAGATATATTGACTTGTTTTCTGATACAAATGAAACCAAAGTGTTTGAACACCTATGTTTCCTTAATCAAAGTCTTGTCTTAAACAATACATGATAAACAAACAAAACTAATTTCTAATGTTATGTAAGAAGCAATCTAGATTTGTGTTTGAATCATAAATAAGATTATATTATGAAATCTTGAAGACCAATCTTCAGCTCCAACTAAGACCATTGAGATCCAACTGTTTGCAACTTGAAGATCCAAGGTTGTCGTGTTGTTCGTCAACATTTAAGTCCAGCTTTGTTGAAATGTAAGGCAATCGATTAACCGAATCCAGCCTTTTGTTTCCGTCATCTATGAAACGATGTTCTTCATTTCTTCCGAATTTTCGCTCGGAAAAGCTTCCTCGTAATCCCACACTCATCGATAAATCACTGCAGTTCCTGTCTGCAAAAAACTCATTGTTTTCCGATGATTTCGGCTGCATCAATGGATATTGTGAGTAGTACTGTAACTTCTTAAACACGTTCCATTGTTGTTGTGTAGTTCTTGATCTTTTAGTGACCCTTCACAGGATGTCAAGCAACTATCCATCGAGCAATCGTTGGCAGGATTCGGTTGTGTCGATTGACGGTATAGACCTTGTAATTCTTTCAAATCAGAGAAGGCCGAGTTCAGGCATTGGTTAGACACTTTCGAAACCAGTTCCGAAAGCTGAACTTTGGCCGCCTCCAGCCCCACGGTGCCCAAATTCTGTCTATGGAGAGTCTCTTGAGCTTTCTCCAGCACCGACTGTAAGTATTTCCCTTGCGCCTCGATACGGAGCTGTAAATGTCGCTGTACCTGCACGCAATGAACAATCGATATGACACATTCGCGATCGCAATTTAAATCTTGGTAATTAATACGGTTATGTACCTCGAGTTGCTCATGCAACCTTCTCTGCACTTCGATTTGCATTTGCAGTGCTTCCCCTATTTGAATTCCTCTGGATTGATGAACATCAAATTCAATATATATACATATAGATTGTAGGATGAAAAACTAACAATGGAGATTTATCATCTTACTTGTTAGCCTGAGCTCCAATGCTTAAGTTATTCATGGGGGAGCTGTCTACTTCATATATTCTTTCGCCCGCCATTGTAACCGCCCCTATGTTCATTGCATCGGAATACAATCTTTAGATATATATTATATTATAATTGAAAACTTATTGGAAAAGGAATGTGTGAGAATTCTATCGAGTCAAGTCGAATTTGTGAAATTCGAGTCGAGTTGTTCGAGTTTCTGTACAAGTTTAATTGTAATTATTTATAGTATTATGATACGGGTTAATTCCAAATTATCAACTTTTTTAAACCATTATATATATATATATATATATATATTCCTTTCACGTTTTAATGTTATTTAATAAATCAAATACAATATAAATTTATAAAATATATTTATAATATTATATTTCAAAGAAGATATTATGAGGGTAAAGTATTGATAGAAGTATAAAGGAGTCAAGAAATTGATGAGGAGAAAGAATTTATTAAAAAAAAAACTTAAAAGACCAAATTGAGTAAAATGCAAAGTTAATGGACTAAATAGAAAAAGATACATTTTTAGTGAAAAATAGAAATTGGAGTTACATAGATATTCTATATTAGTAGGGGAGTATGTGGTCCATATCTGGTCAAAAATAGACTTAAAACAAATGATGAATTGAAGAAATAAGAAAATCATGTAAATTTGAGGGGCTAAATTGAAAATTATATAGTTTATTATCAAAAAGAGAAATTAAAAGTAGATATGTATTCTACCATGGTTTAGGAGTATTTTGTTCAAATTTGATAAAAAAATACACTTTAAATGAAGAAAAATTGAAAGAATAAGGAAATCAAGAACTAAATCGTAAAATTGTCAAAATACTCACCAAATTTTTTTATTTTTCGAATGACTCGAAATTTTCAAATCTTAACTCGAGTCGATAATTCGATTGGTCTCGAATAATTCAAAATAAAAAATATATAATTTTTTAAGTCGAGTCAAGTTTATCATAGTTGTCTTACCTAATTTGTTGTAGCCATTATTAGTTTGTCCGTTGAGATTTTTACTAAGCCTGTATTTCTGCAGTCAAAACGAGAGATATATCATAATCATCTAAAATTCGATATTTTCAAACTCTGTCTGTAACTCACTATAAGCCTTGAAAACAAAGAGATGATAAGTTACCTGAAGATGACTTTTGAGATGGTATAGGGTAAGGCCTGGAATTCCCATTAGTTTCATCACTGTTTTGGGTGTGGCCTCTGCAACAAATACAGAGAAAACACAATTATCAGAGTTCATATATATGCATATGGTTTACTCAGGTAACTTGTTTGATGCACTCACTGTCGGCTCCTCCAAGCTGGTTAACGGCTTCGATGAATCGCTCGTGAAGATCAGGCGTCCACTTCAATCTTGGTTTGGCATCAGTCGAAAGTACAAGGCCGGAATCTCCATGGCCACCTTGAAGGAACAGATGCCTCTCATTATGAATCCCCATTCTGGAACTCGGGTTCATGTTCTTCCCTTGATGCTGGTACATTTGGGGTCTTGAAAACAAGAACAAAACCAATTGTAAGTCTTGTTGTATGAATAACTTGGGATATATCTCAAAAACATGTGTCCGGCATGCCTGTGTTTTACCTGGTGCTACGATATTTGATGAATTCTTTTCTAAACGTGATGGATCAACCTCTTCACCCTTCAGTTCTTACAAGCCAAAGGTGAGCCCCAAGCATGGCTTTATAAAGCAACATAGCATAGAATCTGGGACTCTGACTCATGGAACAACCTCACCCGATCCAATATTCAGACTCACACAAACTGATATTGTCTTACTTTTTTTTAAGGGTAAAGTGGACAAATCACCTCCAGACTATAAGATATTGTTTTGTTCAGTTTCTAGACTATTAGAAATTGTAAAATGGTCATTCGATTATAGGGTGTTGATTTGTTGAGTTCACCGACTATTAAAAGTTAAAAAATGGTTACTCGACTATTCATATGTTCCAAACTCGTCATTTTCTGTTAAAAAATTGACCGTTTTCTGAGCTAGACGTTAGCCTATTCATTAGGATATAATAAAATTTGATCCTAGAATCGTTTCAACTGTGTAGTTGTTTGAGATTTAGGATCAAATTTTATCATATTCAATCAACATGTTAACGTTTAGCTCAGATTGCCGTTATTTTTTTAACAGAAAAGGACAAGTGTGAAACATATAATTAGTCGAATAACAATTTTGTAATTTTTAATTATCGGAGACTCAACAAAGCAACACCCTATAGTCGGGGACCATTTATATACTTTACTTTTTTAAAAAAAATAGGTTGAGGTAATTATAAGGTAATATATGTTCATAATATTTTTTTTAATCATTAACACACACACCCTACAAATATAATTGTTCGAACTTAAGACCTCAAGAGAAAACAACACTCCCTTTTAACCTATGACATCACTCAATAGATTCTGCCCAACCCATTGTACTTTCTTCTCTACCAGCCCCACACACATTTGTATTTATTACGTCTATAATTATGATTAGTAATATAAATCGATATAGAAATAATGGCCCTTATATAATGATAAAAATATTATTCAAAATTATTATTGCACGACCGTGATATCTACTATAACTATAATAGAGTTTACTGTTCTCACAATTGTGATAAATATAACATAACATAATAAAAAACGCCATCATAATTTTAATCCTTAATAATGATAAACATGACCGGAAAGCAGTGCAAGGAATGGCTCAGAAAAAGCAATTTTTTCCTGGAAATTATATGAGACGTTATCATTAGAATTAATTAGGTACTGGAATTTTGTTTGTGAGAATCCTTGATATTCGTCCCTAGGGGCAAAAGCCAGGAATCTTATTCCAGTATTTTATAAAGTTTTGAAGGAATTTTGTGACTTGGGTTAAAGGAATCCGCTATCTATCAAAAAAGCCTCCCATGCAAACTAATGGGATTAATTTATGTGATAAGTAATTTGATATCATTTAAGTATGTATCGAGTTCGAGATCTTGTATATATAGGAAATTTTCGTTGAAAGACTCATTCACTAAAATCATGTGTGTTATACAGGTCGGTCTAATTAATCAAGGTAAAATCTTGAGAACTGAAAAGACAAAAAAAAAACAAAAGGCCTCTCATGCTCTCTCAACTTATACCAAGATTCCTACCACTCTTTTACTAGGAAAAAAAAAGATGCTCTTAGAGATTGTTTGGAAGCAAGGAATCCATTCCATTTTGTCTCCTTCAGTAAGTTTGGTACTTATTCAAGCCTTTTGTTCACAAAGTAGAATGGGGGACCCAAAGTCTCTTCAATTCGCCTCTTCCAACATGTTATCAAATCCTAATAATAATTTCTCATTACCTTAATCGATTATAATCCATGTATTTTTATTTTAGTAGTTTAGGGTGTATCTGTTTAAATCTTTCTAATCATTGACAATGCAAATATTCTACATATATAACTGTTCATACTCGGGACCTCTAAGAAGAACAACACTCCCTTTTATCAACGAGGTTGCATAATGGTTCAATCTATGTATTTTTTTGTTTGTTTGTTTGTCTTGTTAGTGTGCTTCTGATGATTCTCTTGCATGAATCTTTACTTCTTGATCTTTCTGTATTTATTACTTTCTTTATCTTAACTAAGTTATTGCTAGAAAAGGTTTATTTAACAGAAATATACGTGCAAATTCTTCCATTCCCCCCTGCATGAAACTGCACGTAGAAACATGAAGCTAAATATATGCCTTGTATGCATGACATGAGGTTTCAAATCATCATTTGAAACATGAGAAATTAATCCTATAGTCTATAGATTAATTTTTACGTTTGAATTATGTGAATAATTTTTCCTTTCTAATATTGGTGTTTTGCTGCTTATCTGATTATTCGGGGATCGAACTACGTTGATGATGGAAATATGGATGGATCAAGAGGATGGGTAAGATTAGTTGTCCTCTTAAAAAATTTAAATTATCATATAGTTAATATATTTTTTTATTAGTAATATGTTTTTATCTGTCTAGAATTTTATATAAATCTACATCCCTTAAAATTTTAGAACCCCGTACCCTAAATAAAATCATGCGCGTATCTATAGATGGTACTTCGAACTAACGTTTTAATTTTCTAATCCAATTATTGTTAAGTTCCTAATATTTTGATGTTATTTAACTATTTTTTTAATTAATCATTGGTATCCGATCTATTGACCGACTAATCTAGATTGAGTATTGCAGAGACGAGGGCGACCCTCCCAACCCAATTTGCTCCATTCACAAACTCCAGGATTCGAACCCTTGACCTTGCTTAAGGGACCTAGTGCCCCCATCTCACTAGACCAACTGATTAATTGCACCATATGTCCCCAAACTATCAACTTCATTCAAATTGATCCTTAAAATTTTGAATATTCTAATTTCACCACAAACTATGAATCTCATTCTAAATTAGTCCTTCAATTTTTTAACATTCCAATTTCATACCAACACTATGATCCTCATTCTAAATTGGTCCCAAAACTTTTGAATCTTCCAATTAGTTTCAACCATAGTTTAACCTAATTTTGTTTCAAACATGTAATAATATAACTTGGCCTAAAGATTTTATTAACAAGGGATGTGATTAGTATACATATAGTTTGGGATGAAATTGAAATGTTTAAAAAGTTTGGGATCGATTTAGAATTAAGGTCATAGTTTGGGGATAAAAATGGAATCTTCAAAAGTTTTGAGGACTAATTTAGAATGATAGTTATAATTTAGAGATGAAATTGAGATGTTTAAAAGTTTAAAGACCAATATAAAAATGAGGGTCATAATTTGAGGATGCGTGATGCAATTAAATCTTACAAAATTTTAGTGTTCATGCTTTAATTTAAATTTTTTTAGATTTTTTTTTAATAGTATATGGTGATTAAAGATAATATGTTCATAATCCTTTTAACTATTGATAACACACACATACACTGCAGACATAGCTATTTAAATCTAGTACCTCGAGAAAAAAAATATTTTTAACCACTAAAATTGTTCTTTAAAATTTTAAAATTAAATGAATTGATTGGTATAGTTTCATCCGACGGTTATCTAAACTAGCACAATCAGGAATTTGTTTCCGATGGTGCCACATTTATCGTGATAAAACTAGTGAGAGGAAGAGTATCCCTATGAACTAACGTAAATGAAAATAAAAATTAAAAAAATGATTTGGTTATCATAAGGCATATTTCTTATGGTGAACTGTAAGTTCAATATGCTTATAAAATGTGTCAAGTGTAGTTCAACATGCTTATGCATGTGTAAGTACCAGATATCCAATCATGGCGGTAACCAGTAGGTGTGTTTAAAACTATCTGATTTGGTTATTAATACGATAACGATGTACGAATCAAACGGAGTCGGTAGTTAAGAGATTTCTTGTTATTCTTTAAATTTTTGGTTCAGCATCACGTATACTAGATGTATGTTAAAGAGTTGAAAGTTTTTGAATAATTATTATATTGTATTTACCCTAGATATATATATATATGATGACTTGTTAATTTAAATAAAATTAATAAGCTATTTTTATTATTTTAAATTGGATATCTAACTCGCTAATTTTAAAGAATTCATGTGCCAGACAATGGACCGTAATATCCGACTCATCAGGTATCTGATGATTTAGTTCCTATTTTTTTTAAACTAAGACTTTCATTTTTAATTTTCAAATTATTTCATCTTAAATTTTAAAATTATTTTTTAAGTTATTTCTTTTAACCTCAAAAGCATCTAAATTTAATTGTATTCCTTTAATTGTATTTTTTTGGATTTTTAAGTTTTAACTTTAGATTATATAATTGGAATTTTTAAATTTTATGTTTAGATTGTCTATTATAAAATTTTAAATTTTATGTTATTTTATATGATTTTTTTAAAATTAGTATAATTTAAAAAATAACATAAATATGAACCATGTACCTTTTTTTTTTTGAAATGTAATATATATATCCGATAATGAACAATCCTAATAAGAAAGAATTATACTCTATACCTATTTTAAATACCCTAAATACATAAATAAAAAGAATAATATCTACTTGATCATCACCAGCTAGTGCAGAATAAATTCGTATTTTATGTTATCAACAACAAATCTGCCATATCAAAATTCAACAAGAATAATAGTTGTCCAATAATTTTGTACATGTATATAATTTAAGAAGATATACTATATTATTTCATGTTGTATTAGTATATACAGGGACAATCATAAGATTTTATGTTAGAGGGTCAGGGGAAGACGAATTTATAAAATTTTAGGAGACGAAAACGTATTATCAATAGAAAATATAAAGGAAAAAATCTAAACTTTAAGAGAACTTGAAAATCTTAGGGGGATAATTGTCCTCCTTTCGGTCCATCTTTTGAGTGAAGATCATATAAGTCAATAGTTAAATAGAATGTTATTCTCTCTAGAAGTTGTGAGTTCGAACAATTATGTCTGCAAAGTGTATACGCGTTATAATATAAAAAAAATTTGAATGCAAGCAATTAAACAATAGTAATGTATATAAAAATTATGCTCGTCGAGTCTAAACGTAATTGATGTTATGTATATTATAATATATATGAAGATGCAATGACAACACTACATCAAGACTTGAGGTGGAACCTGACTCCTTAAAATTTTGATAAAATCATTATTATCCCCCTTGGAGTTAAAAAAAAATTGACCCTTCAGATAGTTTTTATTTTTCCTTATAATTTTTTTAATTTTTCACATAAATGTATTTATATATTATATTAAATTAAAATTGGTATTCAAAAAATATATTTTTATATTTAAT